TCCAAATCAGGAGAATATTGGTACAACACTCTTTTGTTCATTATATATTCTCTTCGAATCCAAGTTGTACAGTCTACTTCTTTCTTTGAACTCCCAAAAGCTTCAATGATCTTTCAAAGGTAATCATCTTGCAGCTGTGATTGGCATAATTTTGCAGGACTAGTAGTAGTGATTTCAATGGAAACAGACAAGATTTGACTAAGGTTCTGTACTTGAGTGTTCACAAACAGGATAAGATTGCAAAATCACAAAATTATATTATTGCTGATCGCAATAATATAATTTCGTTTTGCGATTTGCAAAGATTGAATATTATTGCAATCAGGAATAATATTCAGTCATCCAGGGATGTAATTGATAGTCAGAACGTAGGATTGGATTTGTAAGACCCATCTTCCGAGCCTACCAGTTGGTGATTTCAAAGACATCAGCCACTTCCATAATTGGTGGTTAGAGGTGATTGTGATAGACTGTCAACATATTCTCGGAATTTGTTAAGTGTCCATACAACTGGTAGGGCTTCTTTTTCTAGGTTGGAGTAGTTTTATTCTTAGGAGAGAAAGCAGCTGCCATATTCTATAGGATGCTCTTTATTTTTCTCCCCCTGGAGCAACACTGTTGCAATGGCTATCCTGCTAGCATCTGTCCAAATGACAAAAGATTTGTTTCCATCAGCTTACTTAAGAATTGTAAGTAATTTTAATTTCAGATCTTGGAAAGCATTTTCTTGATGCACTTCCCACTTCCACACTGCTTTCTTCTTTGTTAAATCAGTCAGAGGTTGGGCTATTTGAAAGAAATTTGGAATATAATCACAATGCCAGGAGCAGGTTTGTACAAAAGATTGTACTTGCTTAACAGTTTCTGGAGACAGCATGTCTGCAATGGCAGCAGTCTTTCATGGATTATCAGATATACCATCCTTGGTAATGTTATGGCCTAAATATTTCACCTTTTCAAAACAGAAGCCATTCTTCTCTCGGTCAGCACTAAGCTTGAATAACGAAAAAAGGATGTTTTTGGAAGGTAGGGGACAGCATAATGATCCAAATGTGACAACACAAACACATTATTCAGTCTGGAATGGAGAGTATTTATCTGTCTAGAGAGGGGTGGCTGGAACATTTCTCAATCCGAAGGCCATTTTGGTAAATTCATATGTATCAAATGAGCAAATAAAGCAGTATTATTTTGATCTTCTTCAGCTACTTTTACCTGATGATAACATGACCTCAAGTCAATAATTGACATGTAACATATGGGCTTTTCTTCATTCAATAAATCATCTGTGCATGGCATTGGAATGGTCTGAACTTTCAGGTTGTGATAATCAGTGCATAGCTTCACTTATTCATCTGTCTTGGGGAATCAAAACCACAGGAGAGGCATAGCAGCTTTCACACTCTTCTATGATACCTTGTTTTAGAAAATGAAGTTCCTTTTTCAACAGTTCTTTCTTATTTGGGCTCATCTGATGGAAGGACTGAACTAGGTGGTCTGTTTTCTGTGTTAATATGATTTCCAATGAATGTAGTGGCTTCTTACCCTACTTTGAAGACAATCTGATATTTATTAAACAATGTATCAGTTTCAAGCCATTGGGATGTAGTTAACTTTTATTGTTCATTTACTCTTTGTTGGCAGTTGTATATGATTGTGGTTTCTTCCAGTGCATTGAGTTGATGGGGTTTTGCAAAGATATATTTTCTTTGAGGTTCGTTAGAAAAGTTCTACTTATTTTCAGCAAGATATAGCACAACTTTAGCTTTTTGAAGAAAGTCAATTCCTAGCAGAGTGGAGTTGTTTTTGGCAGCAGGCAAAATCAGGAGCAGAGTTTCAAACTCTGCCTTAAAAAAGAATGCTTTGCTTGGTGTGAAGTGCCTCTCTTTCATATACCAAATCATCAGCAAAATGAACCTTGTTGCTGCAGAATATGATAGAGTGATTCATTTGTGATTGAGTAACTAGCACCACTGTTGGCAAAGGCAGTAACTGAAACACCTCCAGTACTAATTCAGAATACAGCCATCTGTGTGGAAGGTAAACAGGATCAGATTTGTACAGTGCCAAAATTAGATGAATTTCAGGTCTGTGGGGGGTCACAGTCTGAACACATAAACTTGATAAAATCAGTCTTTCTGCACCCATAGAATGTTAAAGAAAGTCAATTTTCTTGTCCTTGCTACTCACCACAATTTGAAAAGGTTTTGCTCTTTCTCTGTACATCACTTGCTCAATTTTCTACTTTTTAGTTCAAAGGGGCTTTGTCTTCGAAGGACTTTTGTTTTCGTTTTGCGATTTTGCATTGAATCACTATAAATGTCTGTTTCACTTTTCAAACTGTTGCCACCAAATGTTAGAGTCTTGCATTATATTTGAAGAAATTAAATAATAAAAAATATGCATAAATGTGTGTATATTTCTCGCATTGCGATAAAACAATGGTGCATAGAGCCATCGAGTTTTGAATGACATAATCCTGCTGTGAATATGGGCACATGAAAGACCAAATTTGAAATTTGGAATTTGTTTTATTATTGGCTTCATATTTTGTAAAACTGTAACGAATTTTTTAGATAAAAAGCTTAATTAAAGCAACGATTTAAAAGTGAGCAATAGAAAAACTCTACGGGGAAACCTTTTTATCTCCAGCATGAGAAACTGTGTATCGGAAATTCTATTTTAAAGTTATTTTGCGACACTGCTATTGAACTGAGTTTTATGGTTTAAGTGCAAAGAACATGATATTTAATAAATAAAGGTAACACACAAAATGTTAAAAGCCCCTTTGGACCTAATTTAAAATCTGAAACCTTTCAGATTTTATTTTTTTTATTTAGTATTACTTTCTACTTTTTAGTTTGGATGGATTAGACACTTTAAAATAACATTTCCCTCTTACAGGGGGTGAATTTTATAGTTCATATTTTTAACACACACAACTTTGTAATCATCCACTTTCTGTACAGATGAATTCTTTATTTTTCCCAAATGTCAACAAAATGCTCCTTAAAACCATCAGTTGCTCTTACTGAGAATCGAAACTATAATAAATTATGATATATGAAATTAAATATAAATTAAATAAAATTAAATACAGTCAAAAGTCGTTAATCCGGACTCGTCGGGACTTCGGCGATTCCGGATTATCGATTTTTCCGGATTATAGATCATCAGTTTAAATCTCGTAAGATGGCATGCAGAAATTCTAAAATTAAAAATATGAAACCATAATTTATGAATAAAGAACAATTATGATCTAAAGGCTATCAAAATTTACAAAAAAAAAAAAGCTTAATATTTATTTGTTTACTTTATTAAACATTTCTTTCAATGTAAGTTGTTTAAGTTGCTTTGTTTTATGTGATAATACTTTCTCTTTAATTCTATAAACAGACATAATTTCTTGTTCAGTTACAAAGTTCCGCTGTTCAAGTCCCGTTAATTGCTGTGCCGAGAATACCGACTAACTTGTCAATCGAAATTTTTTCGTTTTCACTAACCTCTCTGTCACATTCTTCATGTCTTTATCCATTTTTTGCAGCAATTCCACTTTTTGTTTGTTGGACATCAAAACATACTTTCGTTTTGTAGATCCTTTGGAAATTCCAGCATCGGAAATTCTATTTGACATAATCGAAAGTTCAAGTTTACTTTTATAAAATTGCTCTTACAGTCTGCAAAAAATAATAAGTGGGATCCAATTCGAAGATTAAGGAACAACGCAATCATTAACATTAACTGAAAATAGATAATTAGATAATTTTAGCTTACACCATCCGTTATACATTAAACGCGCAGGCGAAAACGTATTCTGCACTTGCGCACACGCATATGTGCAGTAGTCAAAGGTCTTACGCGCATGCGTAAAACGCCTGTGCGCATGTGCCAACGCGGCGCATGCGCAGAAAGTTTTTAGCTTTGAGGTCCGGATTATAGATCATTCCGGATTATGGGTGTCCGAATTAACAACTTTTGACTGTATGTTTAAAAGTAACCTTCTTGTTAAAGAAAGCTGTTAGCTTTCATCTAATGCTTTTATGTAGTATCTATAAATCTGATTTCTGTAAGAAATTTATATTTGTTTTAAGAAACAGTTTATAACGAATAATTAATTTAAAAAAAATTTTAAACTCAAGCAATAATTTAAAAGAAACTTATCTTTTTAACTATAATTTAAAATAAAGTTGTCTTTTTGTTCCTTTGAAAGTTTTTAACTTTCCATTCAATATGCCTGCAGCACAACATGATAATTTTAAATCCACATTTGGTTCCCAAAATTATTTTAATTTGCAGTCCACACCTGAAAAGGGATTCAGCCAATCTCCAGCAGCCAAAACTTAAATTCGAGGGTAAGAGCTTTTTCATGCCAAACAGAAATTCTTAACAATTTTTTGGGCGCCATTTTGTAATCAGTCTTTTTTAAACACAAATGCCAGCTAGCTCTTAAAATATTTATTAACTCAGCACAGAAACAGTTACAAAGAAAATAAACAACAAAACAGAACATGCACGAAAACGGAACACCTAACATTTGAGATTAATGTTTAGTTCATGTAGACATAATACTATTGGAAAACCTATCCTCATCACAGCTGGAAGTCAACTGCTGTAAGTTGTTCTCATTGCCACTATATGGTGTTTGATAAAATAGGTCGGTTACAAATGCATTTTATAACAACTTTTATTAATATTAATTACTGAAAAATATTTTGAAAAATCACATGGAAATTTATTGTGAAAATAATTTATTGCATTTACTTGTGCTAAATGAAATTTAAAACTCGCCTTTTTTTTAATTGCATTGTGGCTGAAGTTAATTTTAATTTAAAGTTTTAGATTACTTTTTATAGTGTTCTATTTTAATTACAGAAACAATGCAAGTGTATAATAAAAAATTAATTTTGTGATCATTTAGTTTCAAAACAGAAAACCTGAATTTAAGTAATTTTGTAGAACTGTATGCAGTAGAATAACAAAGGTTTGTTCTTTTTTTAAAGTGGGAATTAGAACATGAGGGTGTTCATTGTGAGCGTTTCCAGCAATGGAAAGACATGCATACACCTGAACCACCTCCTGCTGGTTTAGTAAAACTTCTTACAGATAGGGGAATCAGTAAGTGAAATATATCTAAAATGTATAGTGTACATATGTGAATACTGTTTTTTAAATATATTGTGTTTTAGCATTTTATTCAATTTTTTGTTATTGGTTTTTGTAAATATTAGATTGAAGATAATACACAAAAAATATTTAATGCAAAGGATTTATATTTGCACATATGATAGACATAATTTGTTAGTAATTTGCTGTATAATTAGTAACTTTTGCATGAAATAATCAACTAATTAAGTGTGAAATAAAATAAAACTATATATTGTGGCAGTTGATTAAGCCTGTTACTTTAAAAGAGGCACTTCAAGGTCACTGTCAGAGCCTCCTCATTTGTGGTCGTAATTTGTGTCGTCATCACCATCACTGCTTAACATTTACTTTCTCTGCATTGTTTAGGACTACAGTTCAAGTTGGACTTCATTCACAAGCTTTTTGTGAAGCGAAATGCACTACACAGAAATGAAAGGGGGGAAGGAAATCAAGTGACTCGCTCTTTTTTTCTGCAGCTATTGTTCCCATGATTATGAGCCCAAAACAGGATTGATAAAATAACCTTGAAGTTCCTATTTTAAAGTAACTTATGCTGAAAACTAGTGTGCTAATTAGAAAGTGAATGCTTTCTAATTAGCACACTAGTTTTCAGCTTAAGTAACCCATTAAAACTAACACATTGGCACTTTATTTATTTATTCATTCTTTATTATCTAAGTTTTAATGAGAATTTGAAAGAATTTTATTTTCTCAAATTTACAGATTATTATGTGAAAATATGACATGCTTGATGTAACTTGACTCTGACATATCATAACATTTTAATGTTATCTAAATTCTTTAAACAATTTGTAAATGGTATCTAAATTCTGTTTTCTATGTAATTAACCTCAAATATGGTGAGTTTTATATCTTTTCTAAACAGTCTGATCAAAAACGCATGAAATGATCTGTTATTGATGAAATATGCTATCATACTTTGCAGTGTTGTGTTCTGTCATTGTACAAATTAGTGAAAAGTTGCCTAAAGTTGTCGGTTCACTTTTCAAATTGTGGCCACCAAATATTAAAGCCCTGTATTATATTTAAAGAATGTTTCTCGCATTGTGATAAAACAACAGTTCGTAGAGCCATCAAATTTTGAATAACGTACATTTCCACAAGAATATGGGCATCTGGAAGCCCAAATTTGGAATTTGTTTTATTATCTCTTTCATATTTTGTAAAACATTAATGAATTTTTGATTAACAAACTCGAGGATTTCAAAGCGAGCAATGGTAACGTTGTACAGAAAAAAACATTTTTATCTCCAGCGCACGAGTCTTTGTATCGGAAATTCTAAAGATATGTTCATTTTAAAATTATTTTGCAATATTGCTGTTCAACTGAATTTTATGGTTTAAGTGCGAAGAATATGATATTTAATAAATAAAGGTAGCGCACAAAATGTTAAAAAAATACCCATTTGGGCATAATGTAAAATCTGAAAGCTTTCAGATTTAAAATTTAAAAAAAAAAAAAAAAAAAAAAAAAAAAAAAATCGAGCCAAGTTTACGAAGGCCAATTCTGTATGGAATAGTCAATATATAGTTATGTCATCAAGTAATAGCAAATATAATATTTGAAAACTTGTCTTATTTCACTGTAATTTCTTTTAATAGATATGTAAAGAAAACCAAGATATTAATTCTTTACAACATATACTGTTTTTATAACATATTTTTATTAATACGTATATATGAAGTAATTTGTAGTTTTGTTTTATTTTCTGTATAAATGTGCATACAGAAATTATAGTACCTACTAAATATTAATTTAGAAATTAGTTAAATTGCATTCAAATATCAATTAGTTTTGTTCATTTCTAAAATCAACTTTCAAGTAATATAGCACAGATGTTGCTGATGTCCTTGCCGTTATCTATTAATTAAAGGGAAAAATAACACTGTCAAATGTTATCAAGTCAAATGTTACTGCAGTTTTTATTTATTTCGAATTTTGTAAAATAGCTAATAAGTAAAGTTACAGAAGTCTAAAACGTACTGAAATTATACTAAATAGGCATTGTCGGGTAAATTAATAACAGAACTTCATGTCATGACACAATTAATATTTTCTTTGCTATTGTCTGCTCTTTTCTTTAATAAGTGGAGATCATATATTTTGCCTGTAATATTGTAATAATTTTAAATATAGTCCAGGCATATTAAGAGTGCACATATTATTGCACTCTTAATATGCCTGGACTATATTTAAAATTACCTTTTTTATCCTTTTACATATTTCTTGCAATTTTGCATCTTACTTTGAATTATATAATGCAAATGAATAAGAATGTGAAGTGTTGTCAAAACAGTAAAATATTTTTAATCTCCTCATTTCTCTCTCTTTTTTTTTTTTTTTTTTTTCTTTTACATATCTAGCCTGCCCATCCTGTGGAATTGTGTATGCCCAAGCTTGTGGTGGATGTTTGATGTATAAATGTTCACACTGTAGCTTTGAATTCTGTGCATTTTGCCAACGACCCATTAAAAGAGGAAAGGTAAAAATTAATATGAATGATAAAAGTTATTTTTGTGTAATATTTAATACAAATTATATTGTTTTGAATTTATCTTTTATATTTTCCACAGTGCATTTAGTTTTTCAAAACCTGAAAAGGATTAAAATCTGTTTAAAAATTCCATATAAAAGTATATATTGGCAATTCTAAGTTTTTTGTATCGATCCAAATGCTCAAAAAAAGAAGGAATCGAGGTAGTGTTCTGACAGATTTAACTAAAATCAGGGTGCACCATGAGGAGGTCTGTCAGGTTACAATTTTTTTTTCCCATTTCAAACACTTTGCAGGCTCTCAAATAATAAATATTGGAGGAATTATAATTTTAACAATGATAGAAATTTGAAGATGCGAGTGGGTTTCAATCAAATTGGTCGTCAGTTAGCAGAAGACTTACACCTTGTTCGAGAAATGAATGTAATAACTGTACCTTTGTGTCATCTTGAATATGGTGACTTCTGTGTATATCTTAAGCTTGACGAGAAATTTGATAACAGTGAGATGCCTACTGCCCAGATCAGAGCTGTTGCTTATGAAACTATTGAGAGAAAATATCCCAGTAACCTCCGGATCCATATTTACACTGATGTATCCATGATTGAGAAGTACTGGAGCTGCTGCAGGAATCTATTGTAACCATTTTGCATTCTAGAAAGCAGTGGGAAGAAATACCATCAACTTTGATAGCGAAGTTTAGGCTAAATTTATTACGGTGAATCAATTAAGTGCTCGGAAGTGTAATTCCCCCCGGGCTGTTATTTTGTCCAATAGCAAAGCCGCTTTGCAGGCTATCTCCAACAATAAATTTTGCACTTCCAAATGAATTTACAAATGTAAAAAGATTTTCAACACTCTGCTGACTCAATTGTCTTGCAGTGGATTCCTACTCATTGTGGCATTTAGGAAATGAAACAGCCGATTTCTCCTGGCAAAGAAAGGAATGACTATTCTACAACCACTATTAACCATATGACTTTTAAGTCTGTAAAATTCCTAATTAAAATAGAATTTAAATGAGGTTTGCCTCCTACCTATCAAATGAAGCTAACGGAAAGGCCTGGGAGTGTTTCACTAGTTCAAAGGTAGTTATTTCAGGTTTTCCTTGCCCCGTAGCTATGTAGCTGGTGTTATTTCGTCTTCTGACTGGGCAAGATTGTCTGAATTGCCCATCTTTATAAAATTTGACTTAAGGACTCTTTTGTCTGTACTCTTTGTAAATCTGGGAAGTCTGTGGATGAGGAGCATATTGACAGATGCATTGCACTATTATCTATTATCTTTTAATTCTGTTGGTGAGCAATTAACTGGGAAGCAAGTTCAAGGCTAATGGCTTAATGGTCAAATGCCTGATATTGATATAAATAAATTTTTTGTATTTACTCTTATTTTATTATTATTATTTTTGGGTTGTAAATAATATTTATATTTATTTGAGCATCAGTGACGTTTATGTTATTACTCTTGTGTACTCTCACAGCTTTCATAATTGATGCTTTCATCAATAGTAATTTTTTAATTAATTTAAATTTATGGTGCTTCAGAATTCTTAATGAGACTGATCTCTTTATTGTTTGGTTATTTTTAAATATTGATATTGTTTAACTACTTACGTTTAACTACTTACGTGTTTAAAAATTTTCTCTAATTATTTGAATCCTTACCTTTATATTATATTTTTAGTATTCATCATACATTTAGTGAAGTAGAATGTTGAAACTAAGAGCTGTTCAAATACTATCATAGATTTCTTTATTTCTGGTCCATACCTAAACTGTTCAGAAGAACTTTTTTCAATCATTTGTAGTAATGTTTTCAGTATTAATATTATTTATACTCACATTTATAATAGTGCAATAAACTTTAAATTAATCTTTGTTAGAATAATAAGGCTTGCAGCTCATATTATATATATATAATGCTACTCTTTACTTGATTTTTGAATTTTCTCTTTAAAAAATATTTTTATTTACTCTTAATGTATTAAAATTCTGAATTCTACATTGTTTGTCAGAAAAGTTCCAGGACAATTTTTTTTTTTATTTCTGAGTTTACGGCAGTAAAAAGGAATAAATGTTGTTTTTATTTTACCTGGTATGTATTCTTACTTGACATAACATTGGCCATGTTTCCTAGCAAACTTACTAGGTGGTAGGGCTGTGCTTAGCAACACACTGTTCAGATTGCTATCACATTCATTAAGGTGACACAATGGATGCTGATTGTGAGCAAAGAGTGAACATTAGGTTCTGTGTTAAGCTTGGGAAAGCCTCTACTGAAATGTGGAACATGATTAAGCAAACATATATAGGCAAGGCACTTTCAAGAAATCATGTTTTCAAGTGGCACAAAAGCTTTCACGAAGGCAGAGATTCAGTGCAAGATGATCTCGGAGCTGATCACCTGTCTATAGCAAAGTCATGTTTCCAAGTAGCACAAAAGCTTTCGTGAAGGCAGAGATTCAGTACAAGATGATCTCAGAGCTGATCACCCATCTATAGCACATGCCGATGCAAATGTGGAGCATGTAAGGCAGTTATTGGAAGAAGACAGTCGTGTAACTTTGCATATGGTATCAGAAGAACTGAATTTGAATCGTGATGTGTGTCGTCAGATTTTACACGAAGATTTAGATTTCACCCCTTCCTTCCAAGACCTCCAGAAATGTTGGCAGTTGTGTATAGATAGCCAAGAGGACTACTTTGATAGCAGCTAGGATCATAACTTGGTAAATGCAATTTCCTGTTTTGTACGATGACAAAGGATGTAATATATGTTTTTGAAGGTAAAAGCTTTTCAGTAATATTAATAATAATAACCACAGATGTAAAAGATATAAAACCTTTTTTTCCATACTAGAAGAACAAGGTAGTATGATTGGTGGAAATCATTACTTGACATAAATTAAAATTTTAAAGTAATTTCACATTGGCAAATTAATTTACTTAATTAAATTAAATTTAGGTTTTTTTAATAATGATCAGTTATCATTATTAAAAAATCAGGCATAGTACAACTCTGTAAATGTTGTGAATATCTTAACATTTCAGTTGGTGGATATATATATATATATATATATATATATATAATTTGATGTTAGGAGTTATATCTTTCTAAAAATTAGGCTCAGTTTATCTTTTATTGGAAGAGTTAGGAAGCATTTATGTAAATAAAAAAGATTACAATTAGTAAAATACATAATAATTTTTAAATATGTAACATATACAAATTCGGTTTTTTATCAACTTTGTTCATAAGAACAGCAACGATGACCAAAAATATATAACTGAAACACAGCACTTAATTAAATAGCATATGAATTCTGGATTATAGATTATTTAAAGTTGGTTAACATTGTGTCATAATTTTGAAAGGAATAAAACAAAGACTTGACTTACCGTATTTGCCGGCATATAAGACGCACCCTTATTTAGACGATCACACACAAGGGAAAAAAGTTTCACTTGCATGGTTTCTTTTAGTTCTCACGTTTCGTAAAAGCCAAATAAATAATTATTGAATGCAATTACCTTCACATATAAGACTGTGTCCTTCACGTATAAGTCGCAGGTAACTTTTTTGAGACCAAATTTAGGAAAAAAAGTGCGTCTTACATGCCGTCAAATACGGTAATTGATAAAACATTATTCATATGATCTTTATTTGATAAAAAATCAATCTTAAGTTTTAATATTTCTTAATATCTTTCTTGCATTTCTTATTAAGTTATATTTATAAAAAGTTGTATTTATATAGGAGTGTGATAATAAAATATGTGAATTACGAGGAATTCATGCTCATCATCCTAGCAATTGTCTTTTCTATGTGAGAGATGCAGATATTTCTGATATTCAGATTTTATTACAAGTAAGTATGGAAAATAGTCTCTCAGTTGTTTATCTTAAGTTATTTCATGAATCTATGTGCAAAGTATGCTTTTTTTTTAATTCCAACGAGGTGATATTACCTTTTTATCAAATCAAATCTTTGACTTAGGTTATTTCCAAGGTTATTTTATTTAATTTTTAAGCAGAAGTTTTAAAAAATGACCCCCTACAAAAAAAAAAAAAATTTTTCATATTATCATACTAATAGGTGATTTTTTAGTTCAAAATTTAGAAAACATAGTTTTCCATTTAAGCCTACTCAAAATCGACTAATTAAAAAAAATCATATTACCATATCAGAGGTAATTTTTTAAAATTCAAAATTAATTTATTAAATCACTTTTAAAATTTTTGTCTACCAGTGGTCAAGTGGATAAAACTGCCAAGCATTGGTAATTCAAGTTTGAATCCTGACAGATGGACTGATTGTGTTTCTGTTCAATTGTTTTCTCTATGTGTTAAATAAATATAAATCATTTTCCCTAAAAAATTCTCCTTGAAGGCAAATTTTCTGTAGGCTAAATATCCTTTATGAGCTTTGTATAATCAATTAAACAACTTTCTAAAATTTTCCGTATTTGAATTGTGAAGAATATCATTACTTTCTGATAAAATAATTTAATATAGTTCTGTTTTTATCTTTTTTTATTTGATATTTTAATTAATTGGTATCACTAAAACATTAGATATTTTATTAAAAGAGATAAAATTGTTTTTATCCTACCTTCCTGCAAAACAAAATCCTTCTCATTAAATTTCAATCTAATTTTGGAAACCTTTTAATTGATTTATTAAAAAACTTAATTTTGCTGGATTTCTACAAGGCTTATCTACATTAGCCCCCTTTTTATTAAAAAAATGTATTTGCATTGAATAATTTTAATTTTTTCCATTGAACAAATTAATTTTTAATTAGTAAGCAACTGAACTTTTAATTAAATTATGAGATTGTTATAAAAGGTTGTTATCAATAAATATGAAGACTTGTGCATCTGTATGTAATTACTTTCAGAAAATTTATGTTAAAAACGGTTAAAAAGTTCATGTGGGAATTAAATTCATGTAAGAAAGTATACTTTTTATTTGAATGAAAACTTTTTTTTTTCCTTTACTTTCCTAGTGTTGAACTGTTAAGTATTAGATTTCAAAACTATTTTTTTAAATGTTTTGTGAAGAAATGAAATTGTTTGGTGTATAAAGTTGTTGATATTTATTATAATTCTTTATCTACCTAACTTTTTGGTCATATTAACTAATCTTCAAAAGTAAGTATGTACTTTAAATATTGTATGTATAAATTTGAATTTGTAATTAAAGATTAAAACATTTTTATGGTTAATTTATTGTGCTGTATGGCTAATTTATTAAAATCACAATCTTCACAGTCATTTTAAATCAATAACTTCTAATGAATACAACTAATGTTACTGTAATGAGTAACATGTAAAGGTGCTCAGATGTAATAGAGCAATTCTGAAATTGTATTTTATCTTGAATAAAAAATTCCAGTGAGCAAGTGTAAAGATTTTGCATTTAATATAAAAATTTCAACCAAATTTCATAGAATTAAAATTGATTACTTTTTAAAAAAGTTTTCTGACTAAAATTTTGAAAATGACTGTACCTTTTGTGTAAGATATTCTCATTTTACAATTCTGCTTTCATTTATTAGAGTATTTCAATCATAGGACTAAAGCAAATATGGCTTATTTGTTGAAATTCTATTACTCAGTTTTCTTTTTGAAAGGAATCTAAATAATTTTGGTGTGGAAATGGAAACTACAAATGATACAAGAGAAATGAAAACTTGATGAATTACACTGCAGTAGGCTTTCAATTAGAAACATTTCAGGATTCATTTGTGTTTTTTTTTCATTGGCAGAAAGTGAAATGTTGCTCTTGTTTGGCTAAGCATAAATTAAGAGGAAAAAGAGTGGGGTGGGGCATGATTGAGCAAAGTATAATATGGCATGGTCTAGAATATAGAAAAAAAAAAAAAATTTTGAGTGAGGAGAATTCTCGTACTTATTTAGTGTTAATTAAAGAAATTTTATTATATGTTGGATGTAATCAAATGTGTTTTGAAAATGCAGTTGCTTCTTTTTAAAATTTTTTATTGATATATGATTTCCCCCCCCTTTACTTAAAAGGAGGAATCAGTAGAATATTTGACCATTCCCCCCAAAGATCAAATAGTGAAAAGTCGCTGCCAAGTGCGTGAACAAAAACATATCCATGGAGTCATATCAGAAGACAGATGTGGTAGAGATATTGAACCATATTGTGCTGGTCTTTGCAGGTATATATATTCCGAAAGGACTTTTTTAAACTCTAAAATTAAGAACGTGAGTGGCAATAATAAAAAGTATTTTGTTAACAAGTTTTTAATTATTATTGTTAAATAAACATGATATACAAATATGTAAGTAATTTTAGTTTAAAAAAGTTTCTTAAAAATAGATGAGTTTTGTGCAACTATTATGCTACTTTTTGTATAATGCTTGTAATTATTTCGTTTCTGTTAATTTTATTTAAACAAATCAATATCCTTAAATAATCAGTTTACATACACACACACATGTATACAGTCAAAAGTCTTTAATCCGGACCTCAAAGCTATAAACTTTCTGCGCATGCGTAAATGCATAATATGTTTGCGCATGCACGTTTAATGTATAACTGATGGTATAGGCTAAGCTAAAATTATCTATTTCAGTTAATGTCGCAGATTGCGTTGTTCCTTAATCTTTGAATTGGATCCGGCTTATTATTTTTTGCAGACTGTTAGAGCAATTTTGTAAAAGTAAGCTTGAACTTTCGATTATTTCAAAAAGAATTTCCGATTCTGGAACTGCCAAAGGATCTACAAAGCGAAAGCATGTTTCGATGTCTATCAAACAAAAAGTGGAATTGCTGCAAAAAATGAATAAAGGCATATCCTTTGTTTCTATAACCATTCCGAAATCTGTTTATCAATTTCATGCTACTCTGCGGGTGGGGGAAAGGTCACGGTGCCGCGCAATGAACTGGAAGTTGATCTGTCAGCACTATCCTTATCTTCAGGGCAGATGTTTTTATTTTATTCGGCTTATAATTCCTTACTAAATGTAGTATTTCATCTCGATGTACTCCGTCTTTGATATGATTTAAATCTAATTCCTTATCATTATAAATATCTGGAATACACATCCAATAGTTTTCTGGTTGCAATTTTCTAATTTTGACTATGCGTAATGTATGCTTTATGCATGTGCGCATTGAAAGAAACGTTTAATAAAGTAAACAAATAAATATTAAGCTTTTTTTTTTTTTTTGTAAATTTTGATACCCTTTAGATCATAATTGCTCTTTATTTCATAAATTACAGTTTCATATTTTTAATTTTGTAATTTCTGCATGCCATCTTACCAGATTTAAATTAATGATCTATAATCCAGAAAAACCTATAATCTGGAATCGCCGAAGTCCCGATGAGTCCGGATTAAAGACTTTTGACTGTATATATATAAACTGAAGTTTTGATGAAACAGTTATTTACACACACAAATTTAGATTATAATCATGTTTCTTAACTGTTTATCGGAAGAGAGGCAATTAGACGTGAGAAAATTAAAATAGTTTTTAGTCCAAAGGGGCTTTGTCCCTGAAGGACTATTGTTTCCTTTTTGCGATTTTGCTTTGAATCACTATAAATGTCTGTTTCACTTTTCAAACTGTTGCCGCCAAATGTTAAAGTCCTGCATTGTATTTGAAGAAATTAAATAATGAAAAATCTGCATAAATGTATGTATATTTCTCACATTGTTATAAAACAACGGTACATAGAGCCATCGAATTTTGAATGACATAATCCTACTGTGAATATGAGCATGCGGAAGCCCAAATTTGAAACCTGGAGTTTGTTTTATTATCGATTTCATATTTTATAAAACTTTAATGAATTTTTGAGTAGAAACTCAATGATTTGAAAGCCAGCAATGGCAACACTATACAGAGGGGGGGGGGGAACCTTTTTATCTCCAGCACGTGGAACTGTATATCTGGAAATTCTAAAGATATAAGCCATTCTGTGGTGGTGGTAGTGCTAATCAGATAGTCAAATACAGAAACTATTTTTCACTATAAAAGTTATTTTCTTTTTCTGCCCCTTTTACTAATTAAAAGAGGAAGATATAACTTCTTTCAAATAAAAAATATGTAATAAATTTTGCTTGTGCATGTTTTCTATTTTGTAATCAAGAAATTGTTATTGGAATAAAATGTACTTGTGTTATTTATTCAATACAAAATCCATAGTTTCTATTTTTAAAATTAAATTTAAAGATTTTCAGGATGGTGCAATCTTTTTCTTTAAATGTATGAACTTTTTGTTAAATATGTAGTTGTGTGTATGTAAGAAATATTTCATAAAATCTGAGTGATTTCAAGAGCAGGTTTATAAACTCAGTGAGAGCATAAAAGAACCTTAAAAAAGGTCCTGTGGTGTGATTTTAAAATCTGAATTCTTTAACAACTTAACTGCTGTGGGATTATGTATACACGCCTTGCTCAGCTGATGCGTTAACTGCCCCGGACATATATATATATATGCCCTTCCAAAATACTATCATTTGCTTTGTGCTGCTACCCATAAAATTACTTGCTATTCTTTGGAATACAGCATCACAGTGACCTTGACAAAATATGCGAAGGAGGATACTATTTCAGAGAAGTGTGGGGAGAAATTGGAGAGAGTAATGTGTCTAAAAGCGGTGAAAGTAATGATTGCGCAGTATTGGCTTGTGGTTTGAGTAAAACATTTTTTTTTATTCTGTGTCCTCCATTTTCGTTTACATTTTGTAGTAGGCTCCTGGAATAAATAAAGATATAAAGTATGTTTCAAACCCATTTATCTTTTTGAATTATTTTTGATGAACTGCTCGTGCTTCATATTGTTACTGAAACTAACCATTTTGTAGACGAGTATATGAACCAACAGCTTACAAACGAAAAATCAAGAACAAAATCGTGGCATTCAACCAGTTCAGAAGAAATATATGTTTTTTTAGGTATACTGATTTCACAAGGTATAACACTGAAACCTGATATTACACTTTACTGTTCTAAAAATAAATTGATCAAAACTCCATTTTAGTGATCTTTTGTATTATAAAAACATAATTTTTATTATACTTACATCTTTTTTATTATACTTTTACTCTAAGCATTAAATTTTGTGCATTAATTTTTTTCTTTTATTCTTTATTTTGTGAAAGTAAACAGTTTTTGGAAAGTAAAACTTGCACTTATTTTTCCCCTAATACATTGCATAACTACGTGCACCTGTGTGAAAAACCGTGGCACTGGGAAATGAATCTTGTGCGTTTTCCACGGCAATTAAGGGGTTAATTTTTTCTTAAATACTCCTCCCCATTTCCCCCCCCATTTGTGTTTGTGTGTGTGCATTTTAATTGAAAGAAAAATTTCCTAAAAAGTGAGTAAACAGTGAAAAGAAAATCTTTTATTTAAATTAAGCTGTATTAATGGGTAATATTTTGGTTCTTTTAAGATATGTCTATGTTTTTCTGCAGAACACATTATCTTGAGTACTTGGCAGAACTTCTAAGAAAGCATAAGATTAGTCCATTACCAATAATGACGGTTCAAGATCTTCAGCTTATGCTTCGAAAATCTCGAATACCTGTGCCAGAAAAAGTGAAAGGAGAAAGCACTAATGAGTATTATGATCGACTTACAAAAGTATGTTATGATTCTATTATTGTTCTTAATTTAAATCAATAAATATATCATTTAATACAAAATAATCATTTTATATTCTTTGATTTGATTGTTTTACTGGTAGCTGACTATATAGTAAATTGAAATATATGCATATAAAAATGCCTGATGGAAATTCTTAAGATTTATTGTGTGTTTTGGCTATCTAAATTTGTTAGTTTTTCAAAATTTTTGTGCTTTATTTGTTTTAATTAAGTGGCATAAAATTTAATATTGCATGGAATGCTTTTTTAATTTTTGTGGTGATAAATAAATAATTTATTTATCAAATATTTAATCAAATATTTGTTCCTATAAAATTTTTAAATTATTCTTTTCGGAATAAAGTAATTCTATAGTGAATCATCATAATTTATATTTGTGGAATATGTTCATTCTTATAGGTATATCAAGAATTTTTAAGCAATTTAGATAGATAAATGTTTTAGAAAATTCTGTTAAGTGCATAGCAAATAAGAAATATAAAATCAAGAACATTAACAATTTTTATGGATTGTTGCTGTTAGAAATGTTTTTAATGTTTAATTTTTGGCTGTTAAAATTCTTTTCCAGTCTTTTGAAGCTATTACAGTATGTTATGCTGCTATCCCAGTTTTCATCCACATAACCTGGCTTGTCATTGTATGAGGCATGAGATTTTTATTTTTCAAGCAGCCTTTGTATATAGCCAGTTTCTAGAGTGTTACCATTTAGTATGCCAAAGATCTTTTACTTATTTTTCAGATTATAACTTCTTAATAAACTCAGTGATTTAAAAGTAATAAATACACTTAAGGGCTTTTTTAAATAATATATTTCATCGAAGTAATTTAAAACATAGTAGATTTTCTTTTATACAATTTATAATTATGAATGTTTACAGTGCTTTTATAATTAATTCAAAAAATGTGTCTTTTGTCATGAGTTAGGTACTTCAATGTATAATTGTTTTCCTAAGTTTCTAAGAATATCCAAGTTGCATTTAATATCTTTGATAGAAGACGTAGGCTATATGATCAACTTTTGTTTGAAATTTTTCTCACATGTCTATATAGTGGTACAATTGAAGCCTTTTTTTTTTTTTTTTTTTTTTTTTTTTTGTAAATGCGTCTTTTGTCTAAGATTCCATCACATAACTTTGTTTGATGATATTTGTTTAAAAAAGTTTAAAAAAACTGTTTTATATTTGAGGATTTCACAATACTAGAAAAGAATTCCAATGAAATGATGTAATCATTTTGTTCCATAAGAGTTGTTTATCTATAGTGGTTCATATGTGTTATAAAACATTTTTGTAGCCTCTTAATTTCACAGCGAAATTAACAAAAATAGACAGTAAAATATTTTCTCTTACCTTGTATCCAGAGCAGCATCAGCAAGAACTTAATCCAAAAAAGAGGTTGTAGACGGAAATTGAAAGATCACAAACACATTTCATTAATACATGAAAAATAGATTAAGATTCGTTAGTATTCCAAATACATATCGAAAAAGAGTTATATAATAGAGAGTGTTCTTTCCTGAAGTGTTCTTCCTTGTTCTTTCCTAAAGTGGTTAGAGAAGGAAAAAAAAAAAAAAAGAGTCACACAATTTGCTCCTTTGCAAAGTGTCCAGATTACACTGTTTATCGCGCTATTGGCGACAGACAATCACTGTTTGCATACAAACAACATGCATTTTTATGCACTTGTATTTTCGAAATTTAGTTGCGTAGATCTTGCACTAAATATTGAAACATACTCCAATTTTTTTTTTCAAGTGTATTATTTTTTTTCTGTGTTTTAAGCCTTGCTTGTTACAAAATAAATATCATTAAAATATTTCTTGTAATAAAATAATTTATTCAAAAGCTATTAATCATTAACTCGCATAATAATTCAGACACTCAGAAGTTTTATTGAGGTGTTTTAGTAGACTATGTTTCTTATTATAATTTTTTGTTTTAAATGCAAATACATCACAAGAATTATCATCTGCATTTGAAAATGATTACTTATATAGAAAAACTGTACTCACAGTTCCATAACTGAAGTGAATGTGGCAAGATGCTACAAATTAATGAGTTCCGTTAGAAATTTAACAGGTAATCATTTTAAAAATGGTAAAAGTAATCAAAATATCCAAGAAAATTCTTGAATAAAAATGTTCAACTGTCTTTAATGCTATTAAATAATGGGAATTTCGTAGAACTGTTGAAAATATTCTGAAGTCTGGATTATATTTTAAGCTAATGCAAAAAAATTGGATATTTATCTTATGAAGATTAAAGCATAGCAGAAAAATCAGTGCTGTAAAACTTGCGAAGGATTCAGAAGAACGTTTTGCAATAAAATTTACCTCTGAAACTGTTAGAACAGTCATTATAGACCATAGGGTTATAGGAGGCGATTGGCAAGAAGGAAATTCCTCGTCAAAAAGAAAATAAGTAAAATATGTCTGGCATTCACAGAATTCAGTGTAAGCAAAGATTTATCATATTTGACAAAATGTTATATTTGCAGAGGGTCGAAATTTAATATACTTGGGTCCAGTGGTTGAACTGCTGTGTGACAAAAGTCTGATAAAGAAATGAATTGGAAAAACCAATTACCTACTTTTAAGCTGAAGGATGGAGATGTAATGGTTTGGGAATGTTCCACTGCTTCTGGCATGGAGAATTTAGTTTTTGTAGAAAATAATAAATTTTTTCGGATACATAAAAATTCTTAGACAAAACCTGAAAGTACATACAAGAAAACTTTGGAATGCAAAATATATTAAGTTCTTTCAGAATAAGGATCTTAAATATATAGTCATGAATGTTCACTTGTCATTATGCAACTGTCCTAAAGTTATCAAAAGCTCTTTCAGTGTTCCTAAATATAAAATATAGGTACAGATAAACTTCTAGTGTTTCTAATTGTAAACTTCCAGTGTTTTTAAATACAAAGCATAAATTCTATTGAACATGAATGGAGGGAGCTGGTGAAAAGAATAAGGGAAGATGGCATTCTTTAAAAGTTCTACTATAAGCAATACTTAGGGATGAATGGGGAAAAAATGGAACATTCTTACACAAAAAATTAGTTGAAATTAGTTGACAAAGCATATGAAAAGTAAGTTTAGCCAAAGGATATCCAATGAAGTATTGAAAGTCCCATTATTGTTGTATTTTTATTAAATGTAAACTATTTAAAGTGTCTGTATACTTACTTATGCGAGTTCATTTTCAAAACTTTTTTTTTTTCCCCAAAAAAAGTATTTTAAATGACTTTTTTAAAAACAAGCAGGTTCTAGAAAAAGATGATTATGTGTATTTCAGCAATATTTAGTAACTGATGTTTTCAAATAAAACTGAAAAATACAAGTGTCCAAAAAAAATATAAGTAACTGTAGTTTAGAATATTGTTTTACATATAATGCAAATTAATCTGTACTTTAAATGTTTTACATGTCTTAACATTTCTATGATCATTCATGATTTATAATAACAATTAGGTAGCAAATATTTGTGAGTTGGAACTGTTTTGTCTGTGGCAAACAGTACTTGAAACACTTTATTTCTGTATAGATTTGATAACATATTCTTTCTGTCTTTGCTTTTAAGTCATGTTATATGCTAAGTTTTTCAGAAAGTCTAAATTGACTTTGAATCATCTTGAATGATGTCTGTTAAACTGTTTAAAGCTAACTTTGTTTTGATTTGTTAGTATGTCTATTTGTTGACAATATTTCCAGTTATTATCTATATAAGGCTGAATTTTGTGTTATTCATCCTTGATTTGAGCGATCACATCTTTTCAAATTGATATTTATTTAATTGTTACTTGCAGAAAATTGTGCTTTTATATCCCAGATGCTTGATTTGTCGGCTTTTGCTTCTTCTCATTTATCTCTGAAGCATATCAGATAATAAATAGTGTAATCCTGAAGATATAACTGAAAAAAGACTTTGCCACCAAAATAAAAATGGGGTTTTTTTTAAATTTGCTTTTGTTAGCTTTATTAAATGTGAAGAAAATGTAATGAATCAGCTATGAGTACAAGATTAAATTGATATGGATATAAAAAACTGCAAGAATCTAAATTTGATGACATAAATTTATTTCTCAGGAAGTAAATGGAGACATTAATACATCTTTAATTATACTTATTCAATTTCATATCACAATAATATGAATGTGCTGATAAGAATTCAGAGGTATGTTGATTTTTGTTTGTTAAATTTTCTTTTTTGGGCTATTTCTTGTGGTGGCCAAAGCTTTTATAGAGTATATTACTTGATATACATAACCCACTTATATGTTCCTCATGCTTTCACTTTAAATTTGCCCCAAATATAGAATATACATGGTATGTTTAAAATTATTTTTCCTTTCCAGGTGATCACAAGTACTTTTACATGACATGAAGGAAGTAATATTCTGTTTATGGATGTGTATATAATGCAAGAGCATGCATCAGCTTTCGCACTGTAGATGATGTTGATGTGATAGGTTACAGCTAAGCTTTGGCACTGTTCGAAAATATCACTGAAATGTATTAAATGTCTGCTCATTCTATTTTAAAAATATTTATGTATATTTAAAAAAATTATGTAAAATCCAACTGTATTTAATTTGGTGAGTTGCTATTTTAAGTGAAGCTTTTACTTCACTTAAAATTTGATTGTACTGAATATAATTATATTTTATATACAAAGTAATAAGATAGTTTATTTACAGTTTGAATCATGTTTCAAATAAATATGTTTTAAAATTTATACTATTTCACTAAAGAGATTTAATAACATTAAATCATAAACATTAAAGATTAAAGAGTTAGATTAAAGAGATTTAATGTTTTATGATTGGTCATGACATAAAATTTTATATATTTGTGTATGTTTGTATGCCTTTTTACAATAAAGTTATTTCTATGAGGTATACTAATTTAAAAGAATACATAGTGCTGGAAAATATTTTTGTATAAAATAGATCTGTTATATAAGCTTATATATTTTTATTTACTTGTAAGTAGTTTAATAATATATTTATATGTATATTAATGGTTAGTCTAGTCTCAGAGGATAGTAAATATTCAGAAAAGCTCACTCGTAAGTTCCTCCAGATTTTATGGGTCTGTTTAATTTGCTATGTTTTATGTAAAAAAAAGAAAGTAAAATAAAGTTTTGTTGCTACTTATTAATATTTGTATAATTCTTAAATTTGCTTTTTAGAAAAAAAAAAAATGCTTTCTTTTTTATTAGCTTTCAAGTAGTAGTGCAAATGTTTCAAAGTTGTTGTGATTTGTCTGTGAAGTAACATCAGAAGAGATCCACAAAATTCATCGTGGTAAGGAGTGCAAAATTTCTTCTGTCATTGGCAAGAGCCTTGAGCACCATATAGATGATAGTATGACTTTGCTCAGTTCTGCCCCCAATTTTGATGTATAGCACCCTAGGGGGAGACAGGTCTGGGCGTCTTCCACCCCTTTTCTCTTAACACTAATATCTTGAGAGGACTCTTGGCTTGCTGCATATTTACAGTGCCCCCATGCCGCACAGACACTATACATTTACAACATTTACAAACATCCATGCCTTCTCCGGGATTCGAACCTGGGCCCTTCAATACAGTCAGAGTCACTAATCAGTGTCCTGTTTGAGTGGCATGTTTTATGTGATACTTGTTTACTTTGCAATCTAACTTTACAATCAAATTTTAATTTTATTAGACCATTGTGGCTTTATCAGAAGTAGGGAAAACTATCATGTAAAAGAGAAACTTAAATTAAAATTTTATTATTTTAAAAAGTACAATTTATCTTCTAAATTTATAGCACCAAAATGCTTTTAGGGATAACTTCTGGTTGTTATTCTTTATGTTGAGAGGAAAATATAAATAAAAATTTCTCTTTATATGTGTTTTTCTACTTAGTGAACACTTTGTATTAGCTTGTAGGGCTTGTGCTTGTAACTCAATAGAACTTGTGGCAAATCCTCAAATGGGTGTGTAAGTAACTTAGCATAAACTATGTCTGGGAAGCAAACAGAAATGTACTAAGAATCTAAAAGTTTCTTTTATTGAGAACTCATATAAGTTGGAACAGAAGGCACTACCGGTGCTTACAAACCAATTAGCATTTATGACATGAACTGAAAAGTAGAATTTTAAATTAAAATTAAATCTATCTCTAGGCTATGCAGAGATATTTAAATGTGCATGTTGGCTCTAACCTACACTAGCATGAAGCACAATCTACAAGAATAAAGCAATGTTCTAGGCAGGAATATTATCTCGGAATATCAGCTTGGTAATGTGGCCTTTAGCAGGCAGAAAATGCTCTGACTAAAGCAACCTCAAATCCATGCTGAAATATACACAAGTTGGCCGGAAAACAGACAAGTGACAGTAAAGATGTGTAACTCGTTAATTAACATAAATACTTTACAAGCCTAAGATTTTCACATCCTTAACTTGTCTATAATAATGTAGAAAAGTACAAGAAAATAAATTTATTCAGCATTTAATCACATTTTTAAAAAGTGGATGTCCTTTGCCGTATACTTTTACATTGCTGTACATACATTTGTTGTACATTTCTATTCCTATATAGCCATGTATTTAAATTCTTAATGTATGGTATATTGCTACCTGTTAATAAGTTAATAATGTGGTTTATTTCTGAAAGTTATTAAAAAGCATGTAGGTTTACATTTTTCATTTGGCTTCCTATGACAACTTGTTTGTTGTAATAGTAGCCTTTTATGTATTTAAGAAAGTTATTTATAAACTTATGTGCTACCCTTTGTTATACTGATGTGCCTTACGTATTTTTAAAAATATGCAAAGCAATAGCACGTTAACAAAAATAAATTTAATAAAATTAAATTTAAAATAAATATTTAAAACAGCTTAATCTTATTGTGACTACCAACTGTGAGTACCTGTGTAAAAATAAATTAGTGATAGTTAAAGATGGTTGATAATTAAGGTTATTAGATAGTTATTTACATTTATCTACCTTGTGCACAGTACCTGGAAAAATACTTAGAGAAAACATAAATAATAGTTAATAGAAAATATGCATCTCCCAAATCTTCAGATTCTGCAGAAACTTCTAATAGAAGCTTTAAAAAATATTTTCTAGGATAAGCGTGCATAAAATGTAGGTATTTTAAAAGTAGTTTATTACATGCCATCCTTAGTATTTAAGTAATAATAATAAAATAGGAATGTAATATAAATTTAATAAATAAAAAAGTTTATAAAAATATTTCATGAAAAATTGCAAATCAAAAATTATTTTAATTTTATGAATTACTTTATTCTAATCAGTAATTCATAAGATACGAACTCATAATGTTTGTCTCCAATATGACATTGCCATGATAACAGTCTACTATTGGACATTTATTTTTCATTTGGTAGATAATTTTAAATGATTTTTATTAAGTGAACATTTATTTTCAAAAATTAAATTTGAGTTTTGAATTTTTTTGTAAAAGGAATTTTGTCAAGTAAGTACCGATTATATCCATTTCAGAAGGAACAATTAAAATTTGATCTAAGGCATTTCTGTATATTTTCTTTATTTTAATCTTCTTTCATGGTTTGCATTGCATTTGTAGGAAGATCATTGGTTATGTAATTAATCATTGCCTACTTTTTTATTACAGTAATTTATTTCATTATTAAAGAGGTAGACTGATTTGGGTAATAATCATTGATACATTGGAAATATGTAGCTGCTTTCTTTTTTCTGAATATATTGGTTTCATCTTTGAAAAAAGTTTTTTTTTCCCCTCTCTGTTCAAAACTTGCAGTAAACAAAAAATATACAGCATTAACTCTGTATTTTAGTTTATTGGACACTTTAAAGTCTTTATAATTAGTAATCTTTTGAAACATTTCCCACAAAATTTTGATAATTTATATTTCCAATCAGCAGTTACTTAAAATATGGATATCTTTCCATGAAATAAAAAAGAATTTTTATAATATTTCAGCAATTTAGATTCAAGAAATGGAGATATCGTAACTGATTTCTATTTTAGAATTAGTTGTACCTGCTATTTAAATTATTATATTTTCATTAATTTTTTTCCATATATGCATTGCTGTCTTGGTATTCTTTTTACTCCCTATTAGCTAGATGTGTCGCCAGCAGTGTTTGAAATTACTGCTAATTTTGTCAGATAATTGTGGAGATTGCTGTTATTTGCTTGCATGGTGCTTAATTTTTTGAATAAGAAATGGGCGATGCCACCATTTATTTGGTCATAAGGAACTATCAGGTTTACTTTATTGTTCCTCGTAAGTTCCATCTGAAGTAGGAATGTGTTTAATTATAGCCTCCAGCAGTATGAGATATTGAAATTTTTATGTTTTGGGAAGAGCTATATTTTTTGTGGGGTCACTAAAATTAAACTTTTAATTTTCAGCCAGCACTTTATGCTGAAATGCAGAATATTTGATGCAGAATTTTCTTGCTCTTAAAAAAATTAAAACTAGTTGATTAATCCAAAATAACCTTTTAAATGTCAGATTCCTTTTTAATTGGATGCTTCAGTAGAATGTTCATGTTTAGCTTTTGTTCCGGAGAAAATATTTTGAGTATATTTGATGAAAATGGGTGTAATTCCTGTTGCATTTTAGGTAGAAACATAAAATTAACTCAAAATCCTTGTTTTTTCTTAATTCATTGCAAAAAGTAAACATTTTATAATCATATTGAGATTAGTTTTTAAGCTCAAGAATAAAAATAGCAGAAACAGACGTATTAAATAACTGTACACACTAAAAGTATATAGAACTGAAGAAAACATTTAATAAGCATTATGACTTCTTATGCAAGAAACATAAACTGTCAATCATTCTTTATCATTTTTATAAGAATTCTGAAAATAATTTGCTGGAGAAAGTTCCACTGAAGTCTACTTATTGGAGTAGTCTGAGAAGAGGTTGAAGTTCTGACATCTTACCACATAAATAGTCCCAGATATTTTCAATCAGGTGCAAGTCCATAAAATGGTTGGCATTTTACAGATATCCTTACTTTTCAGATATTCAGAGATTCATACAGTAAGGTTGTGCATTATTATTAACCATTAAATGGAATTCATTGTCTAAGATATTTATTAATGGATTATAGATCTTTGACCATTTAAGGATCACTTCTAGAGGTCTAAAAGACTCTGGAGACATTTGACTTCAATCCACCTCAAATCATAATTTTCCACCTGTAATCCTGCCACCTTCTGTAATATTGCAGAAAATCTATCATTAAAACTAGTTGATGATAGATAGTGTTTGATTTTCTTAAGACTTATATTTAGAGGAGCCTTTCAGATGGTATTGTGGTTAGGGTAGCCTGCTTCAGTACCAAACTACCCAGATTGGAATTCTGGAGAAGACATGGTTGTAACTGTCCATCCCTTCATAGGAGGCAACGGTGGCTACCAATTAGGTTCCTCCACAATAAAATGGCTACCACTTCTGGCTTTACAAGTGTCCAGTACTGAATAGGAGAGTGCCCGTCATTGGATAAAAGAAAATATATTTAGAGAACACTAAAAACCAGACATATTCCTGCAATATTGCAGAACAATATTGATTTTAATGCAGAAGATTTTAGTTTGAGATAGATCAGTGTCAGTTGGATGTTATCTTGTATAGCTATTTTATCTTGCTTAATATTATATTGTATAATGCCAGTTATCTTGTATAGCTTTCTGACTAACTCCAAATATTCAGAAATATTGAAATCTAGAATCGCTTTAAAACTGTCAGTTATGAGTCCCTTGTAATGGCTAGTAATGAAATTTCTTATGGAGCAGTACTTGTCTCTGAGTATCTGAAAAGTAAAGCTATCCAAAGAATGTACTGATCTGCCACTTCGAGAACTCAACTGAAAATGTCTGAGATACTTAAACTAGCAGGATTCTGAATTTAAGCTTTTCTTGGGGCATATTTAGAAACTATCAAGTGGGCTTAAAGAGCTGTGAAACTTCTTCCTGCAAAATCATATAATAAGATGAAGGGTCAATGTTAGTTTTGTGATTATATCACAAAAAAATTGTGTCCCTTATATACATATAATTATTTCATATATATATATATATTGTTGCGTGCGTACGGGTTCGTTATGAAATGAATGCACAAGTCCGATGAAAAATGAACAAAAATTTATTATCACAACAAAAA